CTGATGTGCTTAGATTCACCTAAAGGCATGTTTCTCAGTTTCACTGTAAGAAAGGTACGGTTAAGGTTTATCGGAATATATCCAAAAAGTAACTGTTTGAAAAGTGTAATTCCTTCTGCAGCATAAGGCTGGACTTTTTTGTTGTTTTTGAAAACTACTTTCAGAAAAGCTCTTTTTCCTCTGGACATATGTATTTTGGCTGCTAGAAAGTCTTCTCTGATACTTGAGGCTAATGCTGTAATGATATCATTAGTTGTGATGTTGTTAAGACTTTGTATATTTAAGATTAGAGTATTGTTGTTTTTGGAACGAATTCTTTGTCTAGGGGTGGAGTTTGTGTAGATTGCTTTCCCTCCTTTAAGCTTTGTGAAAAGGTCTGACCATTGTTTAGGTTTGGTGTTTTTTGTAGTAGTAGCTTCTGTGTTATTAACTTTCTTATTATAGGTTGTTGCCACATTGTTTGTGACACTTTGCTGAGGTTGGACAGTGTTTTCATCAACTTGTGTGTGTTCTGATGTGTTGCTACCAGACATGTGTCTTAGATTATCGTCAGAAGGCATGTAACTCCATTGTTGTTTGTTGTTTACTTGAAGTAGATTTGTTGACTTTTTGGCACTATTACGTGCTTCGTTTTGGTTTAGAAAGCTGATGTTTTTTTTATTTGTTTCAAGAAACTCATTTTCTTCTACTTGGCTGGCCCAGCAAGCTGTGCCTTCTATTGCATAGTTAACTGTTAGGTTGTTGGTTTTCTGAATAAAGTTGTTGCTGTTTTTTCTTGCTTTTGGGGTTTCTTTTTTACTGTTTTCAGTTTTTGTAAAGTTAAAGGTTTTTTCAAGCCTGAGCTTTTTGTATTGAGCCTTGTTCATGTTTAAAGACATTGTTTTGCATTTCTTTGGGATAAGGGCCCTTGCCCTGTAAGAGTTCTGAAATGAAAATATATTAATTTTTGTTGAAATTTTGGTTTTTGCTTAATTTCCGGAGATGAACCAGAAAGAGTTTCTATTGCCTTAATTGTGTTTCTAGGAGAAAAGGATGAATAAGTTGACTGGCCCCTTTTAAGTTTGGAAAAAAGACTTGACCATTTTTTTGTTAGTGGTTTGGTTATTCTACTGGAGCTAGAAGTTGTATTTCTTTCCAAAGTGGAGTCCCCTTGTTCATTCCTTGGTTTATTTTAAGTTGTTGTTTCCATGTTGTTTTTGTTACCTGTACTAGTCTCAGAGACCTCTTTGTCACATGTTGTTGTTTGGATGTTATCTTCATTATATGTACTAGTTTCAAAGACCTCTTCATTACGTATATTGACTTCAATAACCTCTTCATTATGTGTAGAAGTATTGTTGTTTTGTTCTGAAAGTGTTTCTGTGTTGTTATTTCTTTCTACTGATAAGATTTTCTCTTTTGTTATATATGTTCTATTTTCTTTAAGTTCTTCTTTCTGTGTATTTG